CTTTTCCAACCTAAATGATTCTATGATTCTATGATTTTACAGTGCAATGTAGCAGATTCTAATGAAAATTCTTTATTATATTAATTCTGTTTTTTTAAAGATAAAATCTTATATCTACTTATCAGTTAACGTTGATCTGTAGGAACACACAGTTTTCTGAAATACTGTTTAAAAGGTACCTTACATATCATAGGAAAATAAAAGGTCTGATACAGGTTTAGATCTCTCAGTCAGCCAGCTCTATATCTTATTTCTAGCAGAGTCCCATGCATTTTAGAGTAACCTTGAAGAATCTCATAGTAAACCAATGGGAGATGAACCTCAGTGAAGTTGTCGTGCTGAACTGCCATAGAGACTGGTTTTATTTGGGTATTTTTTTCCCTGTATTCATTTGAAATAAATGTAATAGCTTTAGATCTTCTTAATATTAAAACTCATAGAATCATAGAATATCTTGAGTTGGAAGGGACCCATATGGACCATTGAGTCCAACTACCTAAAACTAAACCATATGACTAAGAGCATTGTCCAGATGCTTTTTGAACTCTGACAGGCTTGATGCCGTGACCACTTCCCTGGGGAGCCTGTTCCAGTGGTGTGATACTTCTTTTGATTTTACTAAGATCCTGGTCTTCAGACATTGTACTGTACTCAGTTTCAGACTATAATTATGGTTTGAGGAATAAAAAAAAATAAAAATAAACATTGTTAAATTTTAGGGTTTCAAATCATGTGATATGAAAGCTTGGAGACAGCACTGGAATCATCAACTTTACAAAGCTCTGGAGCATCAGTATCAAATGGGCTTAGAAGCACTCAATGAGAATTTACCAGAAATAAATATTGATCTAACATTCAAGTAAGACTTTTTTTTCCCCCTATTAAGAAAGTATTCTGGCTCACATTACATTCAAATATTAGTTTTTGTATGATTTGTTTCACTTTTTAGGCAAGGCCGGTTGCAATTCAGACCTCCTTTTGAAGAAGTACGAGCTAGGTATTATAGAGAAATGAAGAGATTCATCTCCATTCCAAATCAGTTTAGGGGAGTAAGTGAAGTAGAAGAGGAGTCTATATTCACTGTTATGACGGAAAGAAATGCAAATGGATTTCTGACCGCTTTCAGTAAAGCAGAGGATTTGTTCAGAAGGCTGACAGAAGTTTCTGATCAATTCAAGGTATTTTCAGTATTTGACTGACTCATACATTTTTTTTAGATTTGTATAATTTTAAGCTTCAGACATTCTAGAAGTAACTGAGCAATGGCATTTGTGCATTATTGTCCTTTTCTGCAAGGCATATGAGCAAAAGCTAAGTCCATCCATGTTAAGCCAACCACTTAAGCACATACCTAGCTTGAAGCATATGTATGGTTCCCATTGAAACGTTAGTATTATAGCTGTCTTTTTACTCTTGTTCAAAATCTGGTTTGATTGTCCTTAGATGTGTGAATATGTCAAACCATTTTGTACCTCATGATTTTTGCACTAAGAGAATCTGTAGGTAATTGAAGGAGCACAAAGGTTAAAGAGAATGTTGCTTGAAAACATTATTAAAGTGTTTTAATATTATTGAGAAACAGAGTTTTTTTAGTCTGGAAAATATTTCTTTTCTATGAAATCAAAAATAATGTTGAAAAGGAATGGATCGTCATTGGCCAAGTAGATATGGAAACTCTGGTGGAGACACATCTTTCTAGCAAACAGGACTGGGAAAAAAACTTCAAAGCATTAAAAGTGAGAGGGAAAGAAGCAGAACGTCTTCCAAGGTATAGTGTAACTATTCTATCAGATACTCTAAAGGTAGTAATAAAATAGAAATATTTTTTTTTATGTGGAGATATAGATGGAATTTCAAGTGTTTTTAAAATATTGATGTACTTTTTAAATGTTTAGATTTTTGTCTTTCAGTTTTATTTTTAGACACAGTTTTATTTTTAGACACTTATCTGCACAGGCTTCTCTGAAAACTTTTAATGTCTTCCTTTGATATGATGGGAAACACCCTCTAAATTCAGGGCTGATTCTGAAATACTATAAAACACGGTGATGTCTTAACAATTCTTTTAGCTAAGTCCTGTACATGTGGAGTATATGTGGCAGTTGGGAACAGACAGTAAGTGTTTATAGGTTAAATAATTCCTGTATTTAAACACTTGATTACCTCTTATAACTTTAGTTTAAGATATGCTAGTGTAGGCTTTTATTTTTACATATATTCACATGGAGTTTAGTGTAATGCGTAGTTAGAGTTGTTAAATGAAACTGCTAGGAATCATGTTCAGAACAATTAAGAAGAGGTGACATGTCATGCAGGAGAATGGACTGGTGGAACTTGTTGGCTAAGTGATATTCAAGGACAGACTGTGGTGAATAGAAGAGAAATTTGCTGATGTGTCTTATAGCCAGAAACCAGACATGGCTGTGAAGTGCCATGAGTTGAAAATAATTGGTGTTGAGGGAGGATACTCAGGAAAGTATCAAATAAGGTAGCTTTCTTCCTAGTGTTCTTTAGGCATCTACTTATAGTCACTGTGAGGTATTAGATAGGAGGCCTTGATATGACTCACTATGGCTTTTCATATGTTTTTAGGACTATTGAAGCCTGGGTTAGTACATTCGCAGGGAAATTAGAGATTTAAAGACATGACTGTACACATAATTAAAATATTTTTCTTTTTGAGCATAGAAATAGTCCTTTTGAATTTAGTGACATTGGTTATATAAAATCAAGTAATTTTCTAACTAATTTGGAGGAGCAGAGCGTTAGACCTTAGTCCCCATAAAACTGCATATGTATGGCTGAGGGTTGTAAATATTTCAATAATATGAGTAATTTTCCCAATAAGCTATGACTTTTGTTTGTAGAATTATGAGGGAATTTTTTTTCTTTTCTGATTTTACAAAATCAGGCTAAACTATAGATGTGCATAGACCTTAGAGATACTGACAGATAAGTATACTATTCAATATTTGCTATTTTTTAATCTTTTTGTCTTGAAGCACCATAAGGATAGATTGTTTAACTGTTAACTGCAACCCTGTGAAAACTGTAATTGATGATTTCATCCAGAAGTTGTATGATATTCTTGTCATTTCTTTGAGAAAATCTATTCAAGGTAAATAACTTCAATGAATAATGGTTTTTTTTTTTGTTTCTGTTGTACTTGTGGACATTTATGTTAATGTAAATACTCTTTTTATTTATGAAATATTTTACTCTAGGGCACAGTGAGCTGAAGAAATGATAGTGCAGAGAAAGTTAGTAATTTTTTACTACAGGCCTAACCTAAGACCCCTTGATATCCATGTGCATCTTTCACATTCACTTGTTTTGGCCCCATCTGTTCCAGATGTAAAAGAATACATATGAACATTATTTTGCTTGTTTCTTTTGTCTGGAGGAAAATTTCTTAGATGTTTGAAGGTAATTGAAGGAGGCATCGTGAAATGTTGTAACTAAAAAATATTATTAGATTTTTCTTTCACAAATTGAAATACTTCATCAGGAGTCTTAAATAATCTAGACTTAGTCCACAGAGTTACTTGTCACTTAGATAGTCAAAATGCAGTGTGTTAAAGAGTGCAAAATATTTCCCTGTTTTTGGGTGGTCTATCTGTATCTGAAACAGGTAGGAAAAATAGAATAAGGTGTAGATGGTGAGAAAAAACATTGCTTTGTTCAGCATGGGAAACACAGAACAGGGGTTGTGCAGAAAGTGACTTATTTCCACAGCCCAATAGATGAATTGCTTCCTGAAGGATGTATTATTTCCTGGAGTTCTACAGCTCCTTTCTTAGTACCAAAAAGATCTACCTTGTTAGGAGAATACAACACTATAGCTTAATCAGGCTTTTGTTTGTGAATCTTTTCAATGTTTAAAGCAAGGTGGCTTTACTTAGTTAGTTTCTTTAAAAAAAAAAAAAAAAACCAACAAAGAAAAAAGCCTGGAAACCCAAACCCAATTTTAACATATGTTTTTCTCTGTTTACCCAAGAAAGACCTATACAGATTTTGAAAGTGTATAAATAAATGCCTTAGGTATTTATGTTTAATTCTCAGACAGGACTCTGATACTTATGGTCTAAATTATACACTGAAAACAGTGGATTACATTTTAAAAACTATGTCTAAACACAAACATGCGATTTTTGTTGAAGCAGCATATAAGATTGGGGTCTGCATTTTTTTAAGCATATACTTTGTGTACATTATCATATCTTATGACAGTGTTGTATCACAGTACATTTGTCTGACGTGCATATTTATTACTACAAATATTTTCTCCATGATAACTTTGTTTTCCACCTTCCTTTATATAGCTCACTTATATGATGCTTCTTCATTTCTCACTGATGCCATGGAAACATTAGTGGTTAGGCCCCAGACTGTAGACGAAATAGCAGAAGACAATTTAAAATATTTAAACCTACATGAACGAAAAGAAGGGGTAAGATACTATTTTATCATATCTAGAACAACAGCTATCAAAAATGTAATTGCTTTCTCGTATGGAAACCGATATTTAACTAGTTTAGAACATGCAGTGGTCCATGTTACACAGTATTTTGTCTCCAGCAGTAGAATAAAGTGGCTGCCTAGGGAAAAATATAGAATTGAGGTAGCGTATTTGATGCTTTCCCATACTTACAGCTTCCAGTCAGAACCTTTTTGAGTTTTATGTGGTTCCTGAGCATATAGTAACACTCGGTGGATTTCTCTTCCACAACCATACCTTGTCTCCTCTTGAAAGCTTTCACATCCAAAATACCCTCTGGTGAAGAGTAGGTCATTACCCACTAAACGGGGGATGAAGGACCCGTCTTTTTTTTTTCTCCTGCCCTTTAACTATATACCATTTAAGTCTTACATTGGAAGAGCTATGGAGCAATCAGTCCCTATTCTTCCTCTTCATGGCACACAATTGTATTGTTGTTTGTTGTGTCCTGTATCAGCCATCTCTTTTCTAGACTGAAGAGTTCTAATTTTCCTGAACTCTTCTTGTATCTAAGCCCACCCATAACTTTGATCATCCTTGTTGCCCTTTGGTAAATCTTTTCTAGTTTCACAATAACCTTTTTCTGTGGGACAAACAGAATTTTGCACAATTCTTAAGATACAAACAAACCATGGATTTGTATGATGAAATAATATTATTGTCTCTTTTATTCTCTTTTATTCTTTTTTTTTATCTTTGTGACTCCTAGAATTTGATTTACTTCCTACTGCTCAGATTAAGCTGACATTTTTTAAAATTGGCTGTCATAACCCAAGATATCAATCCTCACCTGCAGTCACTAGCTCAGAACTCAACTTGTATGTGTGAAATTTATTTTTTCACTTCATGGTTATTTACTTGAATTTTGTTTATCACCGGTATCATCAGTCACTATTTCTTAGAATCATAGAATGCTTTGGGTTGGAAGGGACCTTTAGAGGTCATCTAGCCCAACCCCCCTGCCGTGAGCAGGGACAGCTTTAACCAGATCAGGTTGCTCAGAGCCCCATCCAACCTGACCTTGAATGTTGCCAGGGATGGGGCCTCCACCACCTCTCTGTGCAACCTGTTCCAGTGTTTCACCACCCTCATTCTAAAACATTTCTTCCTTAGATCTAGTCCGAATCTCTCCTCTTTTAGTTTAAAGCCATTACCCCTTGTCCTGTTGCAACAGGCCCTGCTAAAAAGTTTATCCCCATCTTTCTTATAGGGCCCCTTTAAGTACTGAAAGGCTGCAGTAAGGTCTCCCTGGAACCTTCTCTTTTCCAGGCTGAACAACCCCAACTCTCTCAGCCTTTATTCATAGGAGAGGTGTTCCAGTCCTCGGATCATTTTTGTGGCCCTCCTCTGGACCCGCTCCAACAGGTCCATGTCTTTCCTGTGCTGAGGGCCCCAGAGCTGGACGCAGTACTGCAGGTGGGGTCTCACCAGACCAGAGTAGAGGGGCAGAATCACCTCCCTCGACCTGCTGGCCACGCTGCTTTTGATGCAGCCCAGGATGTGGTTGGCCTTCTGGGCTGCAAGTGCACCTTGTTGGCTCATGTGCAGCTTTTCATCTACCAGTACCCCCAAGTCCTTCTCTTGCAGGGCTGCTCTCAATCCCTTCATCCCCCAGCCTGTATTGATACTGGGGCTTGTCCTGACCTGTGTCCAGGACCCTGCACTTGGCCTTGTTGAACCTCATGAGGTTCACACGGGCCCACTTCTTGAGCTTGTCCAGGTGCCTCTGGATGGCATCCCGTCCCTCAGGTGTGTTAACTGCATCACTCAGCTTGGTGTCATCTGCAAACTTGCTGAGGGTGCACTTGATCCCACTGTCTATGTTGTTGCTGAAGATACTAAACACTACTTCTTAGTTCATTCTGCAGTTCTTTACAGGTGAACTGTTTTAATGTCTGGAATAGCATAGTATCATCAGTAAACTTTATCATCTCACAGATTAGTCTCCTTTTCCAATGCTTTTATAACCAACTTGAGCAGTCCAGCACAGGTACTTACAGAACTCCATGGGTGACCTTTTTCTGTTGCAGGAAGTAGCCATTTACTGCTGTTTCTGTTTTCTTTTACCCAATTAATTATCTCTGCAAGGACCTTTGTTCTTATGTCAGGGTTACCAGGTTTCCTTAAATGCCTTTGGTGAGGGGTTGTGCTAAAAGCCTCTTTGAAACCCAACTGCAATATATCATTTTAATCTCTTTCATCCATACCCTTACTGATGCCTTTAAAGAACTCCAGTTCTACAAAACTGTGGAATTCTACAGAAGTTGTGTTAACTCTTCCCAACTGAACAATTTTTGTCCACAATCATAAATGCATCTAAATGAATGCATCTGAGTTTAAGTGTGAATGTGCATATACTCAGCAGAAGTCTGGTTCAGTTGCCTACAAGTACACTTCTAGAGTTATTGAGATGCATATCCAACATCCACACAAGACTGGCAGACATGACAGAGGAGTTCTGGGAGGCCTCTGCCTTTCTGTGATTGCAACTGGAGGCCAGTCAAATGCCCTAGGGCACCTCAAATGGCCCTAGACATGTATTTGTGAGAAACTGGCTCGAGTCCCCAGTCAATGTCGTCAGTTGTATCCTGACTGGATGCAATCCATTGCAGTGAAATGGAGCAATCCATTTCACTCTGAGGTAGACACCTCGTGGCTGATCCTCTTGAATTGATTTCTTAGCTACATCAAGAACTCCATGCAGTTGTTTATATGTAGGTGTCTGCTGTTCTGGGGAAGTCCTGGCATATCTGAGAGGTCCATACAAGGCTGGCAGATGTGCACAGGCCATATGGAAAACCCGTAACTTTTGGGGCAGTAGATGTAAGGCAGATGGGATAGAGTAGGGGATCTCAAGTAATGCTGGACACTGTGATTAAATGAATTGAGACCTTGGTTTCAACAATACTCTTTGATGATAATGGAGTTTTTGATGCCTACTTAACAAGCTCATGTACAGACATCTAATTTTAGCTTAATCTTTATCTTGTATACAGTTTGACTGTTTGGCTGCTAATTCAGTAAGGACTGTGTTAGGTTGGGTATAAGTATTTACATTTTGTAGCAACTTTCTGGAAGAATTGCTGGATGTTGAATTCTCTACAATTAACAAAACAGTATTGCTCCTTAGCATTAGTGCCTGTTGTCATCTCTTATTTTTTAAAGGAAAACAAACACAATAGGACATATTTACATATTTTGGTAAATATGAAAAACTGTGTGTGTTTATTTCAGTCTCTTCTGACTTTCATACTTTAAAAGAGTTGTTTTGTTTTTTTTTTTTTTGTTTGGTTTTTTTTCAAATTTGGTTGACTCTTAATATGTAGGGGAAACCTGGAATTTTTTTTTTTTTTTATTATCAGGTGAAAAAAATTGTGCTCTTTTATATGAATATAATTTCTGTTTATTTGAAGTGTCTTTATTCCTGCTTTTTGTTATTCCACATTGTTGTGGTTTAACCCCTCTAGGCAGCTAAGCACCATACAGCCACTCACTCACTTCCTGACCCACTTGCACAGCCTCCCCCACCCCTGCTGGGGCAGGAGAAGAGGAAAGTAAGAGTAAAAGTGAGAAACCTTGTGGTTTGAGATCAAAGTAGTTCAATAAATGAAGGAAAAGTGGAAGAAGAACTAACTAACTAAAACAAAACAAAACAAGTGGGCAGTTGCTCACCACCTCCCATGGATAGACCAAAGCCCACCCAGTTCCCAAAAGATGTTTAACCTACCTGAGCCCCACTCCACCCCGTTTTATTGCTGAGCATGACATTATATGGCATGAAATATCTCTGCCTGGCTGTGTCCCCTCCCAACCATTTGCGCATCCCCAATCTATTCACTGTGAGGGGCAGGTAGGGTAGAATAAGAAACAGAGAAAGCCGTGATGGTGTGCAAACACTTTTCAGCAATAGGTGAAACGTGAGTGTGTTATCAGGATTGTTTCGGTCAGAAATTTAAAACATAGCACGATATGAGCTGCTATGAAGAAAATGAACTCCATTGCAGCCAGACCCAGCACACATATCTACATATTTACTAATTTTGTTGCTCTGCTGCTGTTCTCGAATCTGGCTGAGTGGATCTCTGCAATATATAGAGGCATTTATCTGTTTCATAGAAAGCATCCACTTCTGTATATCTCATGTCAGGATCAAGATTTAGAATTTCTCTAAACACCTCAGATACTATTTTTAAAAATGTTTTAATGTTATTCTATAAACAGTATTAAAAACCCAGCTATATATAGACATATAATCTGTGCATACACAATTGATGATTCTTATGTATTTGCTTGTAATTTGGATAAACAGGATTTGGTGAATTTTTACATACACACATTTTTTTTATCTTGTTTGAATTTAGATTTTTCTCCTGTTTCAAGAGGCTGAAGATAAAAATAAACTTTTGCGAACTGTGGCTGGTGCAGGTTTGGACACTATCAGTAACCTAAGAGCTACATGGGATAAATTTGAATTAATGATGGAAAGCCACCAGCTTATGATTACAGAACAGGTAACAATTTAATACTTTACCTAAGAATCCTGACATTATTTTGAATAAGTCTGGAAAAATATTTTTTCTTAGATTAAATCCATAAATGTTCTCAGTTTAGTGTTAACACCAATGTTACTGAATTGAGGGAGAGCCTTTAAAGGAAGAATACTTAAAATGTTTAAACAATAACTAGGTGAAACTTCTGTTGAACTGATGCTGAAATTAATGTTACATTGTTGTACTTCTGTCTCAAAGAATTTTCTGGAGACAGAGATGGCTTAATGAATGCAATGGTTAACTGAGGAAAATGGGATAACAGTTAAAAGATAGCATTTTTATTACTTTATCATGTTTTTAGTACCAATGCTTGGGTTTTTTTTGTCACACAACTTTGCTAAACTATGCGTAGTCCTGTAATTTCAGTCCATAGGCAAATTGCTGAATGCATTTGAAGTACTACTGAAGATATCAATATGCCATACAAATATTGCAATTTTTCTATGTGCTATAAGACACGGGCAAAATAGGCCAAATACATAGGTCTCGAATACCAGCATAAAAAAATTAGTGCTCCCTTTAGAAAAAAACCCAGAAGAATAAAGTTGAACTATTTCTTACGGTATTATACAAGAAGTTTTTTAATTTTGATCAAGTTGTAGTTATCAAGTTTTGATACTTTGATTTTGATCATAGTTGTAGTTACGAGCCACTGGAGGAATTTCATTCTAACTCTTCCTTTACAGATTGAAATGATGAAAGGAAATGTGATTTCACGTATTAATATATATCTTCAAGACCTGGAAAAGTTTAAAGCTCGTTGGGATCAGCTAAAGCCAAGTGATGATGTCATTGAAACAGGTGATCAGGATGTGCTTGAGAAAAGTGCTCAGATCATAAAGGACAAAAAGAAAGAATTCGATGAACTTGAAACCGTGAAAGAAAAACTCATGTATGTTTATTTCCCTGTATACATTACTCATTAATGTATGGATCGTTTGCAGCAATAGTATCTCAGAAAATGTTAACTGAATGTTATCACAATGAATAATATAAGGAATTCCATTTTATTTATATTGCATGTTTTTCATTAGCTTTTCAGGGTCCTTTTTGTTCATTTTACTTAACATAAATTTCTCGAGCTGAGTTTTTTGGAATGAAAAATTCAAGAAGTCTCTTAGGCTTTCAGGTAAGGGAGTGTATACACTGAAGGCTTGATTCTGACTTCTGAAGTTCTCACTAAGAGGTTTGGGGTATTGGTCCAGGAGGGGGAGTTATTGCTTCAATCCTCTTGTAACTTAAGTGGGCATGAGCTCACCTCTCCCATTTCTTGCATAAGTGGCCTCTCTGATAGGCTGTTGTGCAAAAGGAAAGGATTTTTCTGCTGGGTGCCTACTTTCATTAAGCTCATTATTGCAAATCGTGAGTGGACAAAGTTTTCTGTTTAAATTCTTAGCTTGGCCCTTAAATATGATAGTAAATAAAATTAACATATTCTTTCTACCTAACAGGAAGAAACAATCAGTTAAAAATAATTTTTTTTTCCAGCTTTATTTTTGGCGGCACAAAGTAATTAACTTTTCTCATAAATGAGAAAGAAATGAAAGTTTATGGAAAATAATTGTGAATATGGGAGGAGGTCACTGTGTAGGAGAGTTATGCCTGGTATTCCTTTGTTATTTCTATTTGAGAAGGAGACTATAAGGAAATTGCAGTTGGCAGCAATGTTCTTCAATGAAGCAATGGCTTTTCTTAAAGAAGTGTAATTATTTCCGTATGATACCATCTCTTAAACCATAAATGTATAGTGGAATAATGTAACATATGATACAATGATCTTTTTATTCAGTGAAGAATGCCATCATTTTAAATTGGAAGAGCCTGACTTCTCATTGTCAAAAGTTGTATGTCAAGATATTAAGAGTTATGCAGAAGTCTGGGCATTGTATGAAGAATTTTGTCAAGGTTTTCAGGAAAAAGCCAAAGAAGACTGGATTACTTTTAGGTATGATTTTGTTACTTTATTTTTCATGGACGTACATGTGTGGCAGTAGTATTGTGTTGTTATGACCTTTTTATATCTGATTTTCATGCAGGAGTAAAACATACCTATTTGAAGAATTTTTGTTTAACTGGCATGACAAAATGAGGAAGATGGAAGAACATACTGTGATGACAGTAAAATTGCAAAAAGAAGTGGACAAATATAAAGTAAGATGCTAATTACAAGAAGGGGTATAAAACAAAAAGTGTTTTGGTATTACTGGGTAATATACTTCATTCTGTAGCTCATTTTTCAGTTCTTATAATAAAATATGTTACAATTTAACAAAATACCTTGTGATACTCTTGAACATTTCACTTACTTTTAAGAATCTTTTATGTCTTACAGTGAACAGGAGGGTCATTACCGTTTAGATAGACACCATTTAGCAATAAGTTTTCCTCAGAGTTATACACCTAAACATTAAATCCAGGAATTAAAAAAAAAAACATATACTTCAGTTTAAGAATGTAAATTTTTGTTTTGTTTGAATAGCATGTCACTCTGTAGTCAAACAGATACAATTTTCATAAAGACTAGATGGATTCACATATGTGTTTTTCCTATAGACGATAATTCCACTCCTAAAATATGTAAGAGGAGAACATCTTTCTCCAGACCATTGGCTGGATCTCTTCCGTCTTCTGGGTCTTCCGCGAGGCACTACACTTGAGGGTTTGTTATTTGGAGATCTGCTAAGAGTGACGGATGCCATTATAGAAAAAGCAACAGAACTTAAGGTATGAATAATTTCAAATAATGGTACTATATTTTATTTTATGGTTTATTTTATGTAGTATATCTTGTTCTGTATGCATACTTATATTTTTATTATTGTAGAAATAAAATTTATGTTATATTTTTGAATCGAAAGTTTATTGCAAGCTCTGTAGTTTCAAATGAAATCTATGCTTTTAAATAGGATTTGAATTGTCGGGCCCAAGGTGAAGTCACAATCAGAGAAGCATTACGAGAGCTTGAACTCTGGGGAGTTGGAGCTGTCTTTACATTAACAGATTATGAAGATAGCCAAGGCAAGACTATCAGGCTTATTAAAGACTGGAAGGACATAATCAACCAAGTTGGAGATCATCGCTGTCTTCTACAGTCCCTCAAGGACTCTCCATATTACAAAGGTTTTGAAGATAAAGTGTCCATCTGGGAAAAAAAGCTGGCTGAGTTGGATGAGTATCTGCAGAATTTAAACCAAATTCAAAGGAAATGGGTCTATTTGGAACCGATATTTGGTCGTGGAGCTCTGCCCAAAGAACAGGCTCGTTTTAACAGAGTTGATGAAGACTTTAGGTTAGTGTTATGGAATGTGACTTATGTTTTGTAGTGTCTTTGACATGTGTAGGCTAGAACATTCTTCTTGGTGAAAATATGTGGAACAATTGGAATGTGTATGGAGATGAAGGTCAGCAACAGGAATTCAGTAGATGTGTGGCAGTGACATAGATCTGAACAAAGGTGGTAACATAGGTTTCATTTAATGGGGTACATGTGAAGAAGGGAATCACATGAAGTGTCAAATATCATGAACAAGGCATGCAAACACAAGATCAGTCTCGTCAACAGAAGCGGAGGTGATGTAATTGTTTTTTCAAGAATCATTTCTTGTTGAAGGCAAGCACTTTGTTCACTGAGAAAGTACACAGATGGATTTTTGGGAGAAACAGATGGTTCATTTGTTCCAAACAAGTTAAGGAGATAAAAAGGGAGGAGATTTTAGAAATGTAGAAAGATATGTACAATTATCTGTCTTGATTTGAGTTAAAATGACTTCTTAGAAGGAAATAAAAGTCAAGAATTGAATTTTCATGGGTTTGGGTAGAGAAAGTTTAGCAAGAAACAGTTATTATTAAATTACATTGGAGAAACATCGATGTAAATTCTGAAATGTTTCATCATTGATACTGAAAACTGAAAGTTATGTATCAGATATTTACATGACTTACCTATGCTTTAATTTTTATTTACATAACTACACATATATCATGTTCAGTTTAAAACTGTAATGGTTGTTTTATGAATTACTCTGTTTTTTTCTGTCAAGATCCATTATGTCAGATATCAAGAGTGACAACAGGATAACATCACTGAATGCCCAGACAGGGATAAGAAGTACCTTAATTACCATACTTGATCAGCTTCAGAGATGTCAGAGATCTTTGAATGAGTTTTTGGAGGTACAGCTGACATTAATATAGTTAAACAATAAAGTTAATAAAGTCAATAAGTTTGAATTTAAATTAACAAAACTGATTTATTTTGGTTTTATATAGGAAAAGCGCTCAGCATTTCCAAGATTCTATTTCATTGGAGATGATGACTTACTAGAAATTTTAGGACAGTCCACAAATCCTCTGGTTATCCAGTCTCATCTTAAGAAACTTTTTGCTGGTAATGCATTAATCTTCATTTGTGAAATGTACTTATTTAGAAATAGGGTTCTTCAAAGCTAATAATCTGTTGCTGACTTTTTTTTCTCTCTGCTACTAGACACTAAGGAATTAATGTTTGACTTTAACAATATATAACTTCGTTGCTGTTTCCTCATTAATAGGCATTAATAGTGTGAGCTTTGATGAAGAATTTAAATACATAGTTGCCATGAAGTCTGTAGAAGGAGAAACTGTGCCACTTAGAAATAAAGTTCTTCTGTCAAATGATGTGGAGGTAAGAAAATCACATACCAGTATAGTTCAAGCATCTTTGAGAAATTATTTTGTAATGTAACTTCTGAGGTTTTTTCATTTCTTTGTCAGGTGTGGCTAAACAGTTTGGCTTTGGAGATGAAGGAGACCCTGAAAAAAATGTTAATTGACTGTGTTGATGCTGGAAAAAAGTCACAAGGTTCAATTGATCCATCGCTCTTTCCTTCCCAGGTAGTAGTTAATCCAGTAATGCCACTGTGTAGTCTTAGATTTACCGAATAAGTTATTTTTTGAAGTCTCATAAAGAAGTATATATATGGATTTGGAAGAAAATAACCCCAAACAAATACATTCTATTCATTTATAGTATAGAGAAATTCTTAAAAATATGTTTTCTTATAATTCTTTTGCAAGCATTTGAAATACTCAAGTCTTCTACGTGGCACCTGATCTAACATCCATCCATTAAATTTGATGTAAATCTTGATCTTACTTGGTAGTGAATGTTACATGCAGTGCTGCTAAGACTTAGTAACATAAAAAAGCCCTAAAGCTTACCTGTATAAGCAGAAATAGTCATGAATATGAAATTCTTTTATGCAATTTTGACCACTAGCATAGGGTATCACACAGAATCACAGAGTGGTTGTGGTGGGAGGGGACCTCTACAGATCATCTGGTCCAAACCCCTGCTCCAGGAGGGCCACCTATAGCTGGTTGGCCCAAGACAACGCCTTCTTTGCCTCTGTGTTTAACAGCCAGACCGGTCA